AGCTGCAGCAACATCGTTGGCTAGACCAGATTCGTGCAAAACGAAAGATATATAGGGACTTTAGTGCACCATTTACATTAAGTCGGACAAAATATGTATATGGGAGCTATATCTAAATCTGAACCGATTTTCACGAAACTTAACACACATCATTCTAGACATAATTTAGTGTGTTATACCAAATTTCGTGCATATCGAAAGATATTTAGGGTCTTTGACGCACCATTTACCTAAAATCGGACTAAAATATATATGGGAGCTATATCTAAATCTGAACCGATTTTTACGAAACTTAACACACATTATTCTATACTTAATTTAGTGCGCTACACCAAATTTCGTGCAAATCGAATGATATTTAGGGACTTTGGGGCACCATTTACCTAAAATCGGGCGAAAATATATGTGGGAGCTATATCTAAATCTCAACCGATATTCACGAAACTTAGCACACATCATTCTAGACTTAATTTAGTACGCTATGCCAAATTTCGTTCAAATCGAATGATATTTAGGGACTTTGGCGCACAATTTACCTGAAATCGGACGAAAATGTATATGGGAGCTATATCTAAATCTGAACCGATATTCACGAAACTTAGCACACATCATTCTAGACTTAATTTAGTACGCTATGCCAAATTTCGTGCATATCGAAAGATATTTAGGGACTTTGGCGCACCACTTACCTTAAATCGGACGAAAATATATATGGGAGCTATATCTAAATCTGAACCGATTTTTCCCAATTTCAATAGGGTTCGTCCTTGGACCGAATAAGTGACCTATGCCAAATTTCATCCAATTTGGATCATAAATGCGACCTGTACTTTGTTTACAATTTAACATGGACAGACAGACGGATGGACGGACATGCATAAATCGACTCAGAAAGTGATTCTATGCATATTCTCAACAGGAACCATTTGTCTATCTCGTTTCTTTTTGCCTGTTACAAACATATGCACAAAGACATAATACCCTGTATCGCAGTGTGGTGAAGGGTATAAAAACCAGGACTGTATTTTTTTAACAATATGAAATCTACTATATTTTATAGAAAAAATGCGCTGAATGTTTCTGGCACAAACTTACCAAATCATAGCCGACATATAAAAGTGCAAAGTAGCGGAACTTAATATCAGCCTCATGGTGCAAAGTAGCCGAACTTAAACAAATTTTTACTTGATTTCTTATAAGAAAAAATCTCTTTTTTTATATAGACACAAAAAAATCGGAAATCTTGGGTCCTCAAAACCTATTTTTTTTTTTTTTTTTGATAGAAACCATTTGCAGAATCTCTTTTAAAATTATTTTCTATAGTAAAAATTAAGTTACGTGGTCGAACGATTGTTGTTCTACACTAAAAAGTAATCCTAAAGGCCTCAACATTTGTTCTATTAAAAAATAATAATAGTTTCTTCCCCTATATGTATGTTTCTTCTATAAACTTGGTCAAACAAAATTTTCTAAGCCCTCAAAATATTCCTCTAATAAAAAGGCCTAAAGCCTTCGATATACAAAATACCTCCTTAATTTGTTTATTTATTTTTTTAATATAACAACAAATTATTTTACAACAAATATGTAAATCAATCATGCACGGTCAATATTTACCAAATCCGTTTTTTCCGAAAGTAATTCCTATTGAATCTATTCCGTTTTCCCTATTTTATTCCCTGAGTTTTTTTTCGGGGAATAAAACGTATTTGAAGTAGTGAAACTCTTCTTCGTTAAATAATGTACGTTATTGCCATCTCAAAATAGTCCATTAATGCCAAAATTTGAAATATCACCTTAAAAACTATTCTTGGAATTTCTACGTCATTCGCCAATTTCCATCTTTGCAAAATACAAACCCCCACATTTTTTGTTTGGTAAATAAACCATCAAAAACTAAAGTTAGGTCTAGGTTAACAAGATAGTACCGATGTTTAAAACGTTAAACATTAGTTTAAATAACAGCAATCCAACAAAAACAAATAATAACTATCCAAAACAACAACAAATCGAACCATACACAATTTTATCTCCATTTGTCATTTCCAAAATAAAAAACAGTAAACAAACATAGCGAAATGTGTTTTGTAGATCGCCCAAAGGCATTCATCATTTCCGATCCAAAACAACAGCTTCGATTTCATCCACATGAAATAGCCAAACACAAAAACAAACCAAAATCTTATTTGACATATTTAATGGTAATCTTCAAAATTGTTTTAACGGTTCGGTATCGATGTCGAGAGTGTGCAAAAGATCAACATTTTATTGAAATGAAATATTCACACACACCAATAAAAAAAGTGTTAATTATGTCATTTGGCCATAACAGCACTACATCTGTTATACGACCACAAACGGAACAAAAAAAGACAGACATTCATTCATAAAAATTTATCAAAATCAAAGCAATATTTATTTGCATATTTGTTTGTTTATTTTATGGCCCCAACATATTTCCGATTTTAAATAGTTATTTCGTGTGATTTATTGATCATCGTTAGTTTTCTCGAATACTATTTCCAGAATGTTTGAGAAAATTTCTAAATATTTTAAAACAAATGAAACATATTCAAATAAAGTAAAAAGTTCGTACAGTCCAACCGAGACGAACTTGTTATAACCTCCAAAAAATAGGGTCTTGAAAAAAGATTCTTTAATAAATCCACGCCTTGGATGGGTCTTGAAAAAAGATTCTTTATTAAATCCACGCCTTGGATGGGTCTTGAAAAAAGATTCTTTAATAAATCCACGCCTTGGATGGGTCTTGAAAAAAGATTCTTTAATAAATCCACGCCTTGGATGGGTCTTGAAAAAAGATTCTTTAATAAATCCACGCCTTGGATGGGTCTTGAAAAAAGATTCTTTAATAAATCCACGCCTTGGATGGGTCTTGAAAAAAGATTCTTTAATAAATCCACGCCTTGGATCCTTGAAAAAAGATTCTTTAATAAATCCACGCCTTGGATGGGTCTTGAAAAAAGATTCTTTAATAAATCCACGCCTTGGATGGGTCTTGAAAAAAGATTCTTTAATAAATCCACGCCTTGGATGGGTCTTGAAAAAAGATTCTTTAATAAATCCACGCCTTGGATGGGTCTTGAAAAAAGATTCTTTAATAAATCCACGCCTTGGATGGGTCTTGAAAAAAGATTCTTTAATAAATCCACGCCTTGGATGGGTCTTGAAAAAAGATTCTTTAATAAATCCACGCCTTGGATGGGTCTTGAAAAAAGATTCTTTAATAAATCCACGCCTTGGATTGGTCTTGAAAAAAGATTCTTTAATAAATCCAAGCCTTGGATGGGTCTTGAAAAAAGATTCTTTAATAAATCCACGCCTTGGATGGGTCTTGAAAAAAGATTCTTAAAAAAATAGTTTTAAAAAAATATTCTTTAAAAAGAAATAGTTTTGAAAAACTATTCTTTAAGAAAAACGGGTTTGAAAAAATATTCTTAAAGAAAAATAGTTTTGAAAAAATATTCTGTAAGAAAAATAGTTTTAAAAAAATATTCTGTAAGAAAAATAGTTTTGAAAATATATTCTGTAAGAAAAATTGTTTTGAAAAAATATTCCTTAAAAAAATAGTTTTGAAAAAATATTCCTTAAAAACAATAGTTTTGAAAAAATATTCTTTAAGAAAAATGGTTTTGAAAAAATATTCTTTAAGAAAAATTGTTTTGAAAAAATATTTTTTAAGAAAAATAGTTTTGAAAAAATATTATTAAAGAAAAATTTTTTTGAAAAAATATTCTTTAAGAAAAATTGTTTTGAAAAAATATTCTTTAAGAAAAATTGTTTTGAAAAAATATTCCTTAAGAAAAATAGTTTGGAAAAAATATTCTTTAAGAAAAATAGTTTTGAAAAAATATTCTTTAAAAAATCCACGCCTTTGGATAGTTTTGAAAAAATATTCTTTAAGAAAAATGGTTTTGAAAAAGTATTCTTTAAGAAAAATGGTTTCCAAAAAGTGTTATTTAAGAAAAATTATACGTAATTATACTTCTAATAGAAAACTTTCTGGATATAAAAATACAATCCCTCATCAGATTTGGGCGCCATCCCCAAACATATTTCAAACAATATTTTGTTTCAGAAGAGAATTCACTGCAGTTGCTATCACTGCTTGTTTCCTTCCATCTTACAAGCTACAATAATTTAAAATCCATTTACAAGTTTCATATGTATGTGTATATATTTATAGTCAATCTTTTTATATTATTATTATTATTACATATTATTATTGCAAATTATTCCTAGAGACGTTCATAATTTTCAGTTTTTTTCTTTCGTATTATTTCTAATTTTCATTTTACTTGAAACGTGGTTTTCACTATTTATATATATTTTTAATTTATAATAATTAGAATAATAAGATTGTGTATAGTGTGTTGTTGTCAGGATGTTTGTGTGTGTGTAAGTAATTTACAAAACATGTCAAATACCATATGTTATGATCTATTTTTCATATCCTTCTGGTTGCGTTCTAAAATTTTGTTTTTTTTTTTTCAACAATTAGAAGATGTGGACAGAATTTGGTTTTGTTTTGTTTTCGATTAAAAAAGAAAAAAAAAACATACTTTTGTTATTGGGTTTTTGTAAATGTTGTTTGTTTACGCTTTGCTAAATACAAACTTAAACTTAATATATATAATCGAATCAAAATTGTATATAATATGTAGGTTATATATAATGTATATAATAAGTATATATATTTATTGGGAAGGGGGAAGGAGGATGAGTGGAGGGGTTTTTAATTTCGTTTATGGCAAAAAAATATTTTTAAAGGCAAAACTACACATTTTTCACAAGGTAACCTTTTTTAAGAACATTTTTTAGTTAATAAAGTTTTTGTTTTTGTATGGAGAACTATTACACAGAACAATTATACAAAAAAAAGGAATATTGGAAACTTTTGTAAAAATAATCATGTATGTATGTGGAAAAATGTTAAGACTATTTTAGATTCCATTGGATTATATATCGCGCGCTATGCTTCTTCTTATTTTTATTATAGAAATGTTTCAAAATCTACACTATATTAGCAAGATATTTCGGTGGTCACGCCCTTAATGCTTTCCGAACTAAAGTGAACACAACCGTATTTACACACTAAAGTCCACACATATGGAATGAAAAATTCTTCTGGGGCATCTTCTTCGACATATTTGAATTTCAAATCGGGGAATTTCTGAAAGAAAATAATTTAATATTTAATAAACAAAAAAATAAATAAATTTGTTTACTTACCCTCAAACGATCGCTGGACCATTGGCTGGCACCCTTGGAAATAACTTCGAATACTTCATTGACACCCAATTCACCTCTTTGTTCCTGGACACGTTGTAAACGTGACGAAAAGAAACCCACCACCTAAATGAAAAAAATGCGAATTAATTTAAAATAAAAAATTAAAATTACCTCAACTACTCACCATATCTATGTTCTGTATAATATCCTGAAAGGCGTGATGTGAACGAAAACCTTCAAAGACACTACGTTTATACAACAGAGTATACACCAAGTTCGGACAATAGACCAATTGATTTGACAGACATGAATTAAGGATTTCCAAGACCATACGCAAAACCTCTTCCAATACCGTTAGATCTTGTAACATATCTTCCGGTGTCGTGGAAACATTAACAAATACCGCACTATTCACCGGCTCTTTGAGTTGAGCATCAAGTCGAGTATGTTTCTTGGCCAAAGTTTCGAACAGTGAGATTAAACGTTGTGCCACATATGGATGTAAATTACGAAATTGTCCCGACATGTTAGCCAAGGCCGCCAAACAGTTGGTATGCAAATATTTATCACGCATTTTTAACATATTATATTGTATGGTTCGTATGACCACTAGGATTAATAGGCCACCCAGCGAGATTTCCGATATTGTTCTTTCCGTGTACCAGGTTATGTTTTTAAGCATCTGTAAAAAAGAGAAGACAAGAAGGAGTGAAAATAAATGAAGAAGTTAATATAGAATAATTGATAGATCTGGTGCAAGCTTATGTAGTCTTTGCAATTTATAGGGGAAACCTCCAACGGGTTATTAAGTTATATAAGGCCCCTGAAAGGTTTTCTCTATAAGCAGAAGGTTTTATATAGCTTATCTATATGGAGAATACCTTCTATAGGATATTTTATAAGGTATTCTAAAGGACTAATAAAGATAAAAAAACGGTTCAATACGCAGAAGTCTTGTTTAAGGCCTTCTTTATACAGATGACCTTTCACAAATCACAGATCTATAGCTAGAAGGTCTTCTATAGGTTACATATTTTTAATTATTCGTTATATACTCACAATATTATGAACATTCTTATTGAAACTATCATCTTCACTCAATATCAGCAACACAATCAATGACATATAAATATGATGAGATGTACTATCCGGCGCATGATACAACGTTTGCAATATCGGTGTCACCAATTTCTCCAAATCCTGTTGGGCCATGACAAAACGATAAAAACGTTCATTGCGATGTAGCAACAAATACAACAACAATGTTGCCTGATCAATGGTTACAATCCGACACAATGTTTCATAGACAGCACCAAAATCAATATGAAATGTTGCACCATCTTTGCTGGCAACATCTTTTGAATCGGCACAGCCGAACAATGATGAACGATATGAATTCTCTTTCGTGGTACAATGATTGGTGAGTATCAAAATTAACAGAAGACTTTGATTGGCCAAGGGGTAATGGGTGCGGAATTGTTGTGATAGCTCAGCACCTGTGGAGTGTGTGGCACTTAAGACATCTTGCTGTTTGCGGAAGGTGAAGATCGATAGCAACGACTCGGCAATGCCGAAAACAAATGAGCCAGCCGTTGCGGAGCCAAACATTGTCTGAGGCACTTCCACTAGCCGGGCAACAAAATGTAATAAGGCAGACATCAGGACATTAGCATGCTGGCACTTGTACACGGTGCGGAAGATAATGGATTTTTCTGTAGGCTGTTGGGTGAATAAATGTACAGACAATAGGGTTATCAGTGTGTTGACCGCCTCCAAATGTAGGTGATATGTGAATTCTCTGGAAAGTAGAAAATAAAATAAATTAATAAACAATTTGGGAAAAGTATATCTCCTTCACAAGCTTACTTAACCGGAATCACAACTATCAAATTGAAAATTGCATCGATAAAGGTTTCAAATTTGGAACCATCTACCATAACAGCGGCAGCCGCAGCTGCTGCCTTCAATGTGGCGGAGGGATCATCGTTTTCAGTTGCCTCCACAGCTATTGCTGTACTTTCTGGTTGTGCGCCAGCAGCTGCCGCTTCTGCCTCAGCCTTTAAATACTCCTCATTAGGAATTGCCTCAAAATGTTGCAACAACTGAAATTCCGAACCAGTCTCTGTGATATATTTCACCAACGAACGTATAATAAACAAGGCGTTAAATGTCTGCCATATGTGCATATTACTCTCCTGATCGGATAGCGATAGTAGTTCCGAAGTTTTCGTTAAAAACACCGTTATCAATGAACCAAAATTACCAGTCTTTAGATTATTGCTAATAAACGATTGACACAAAGATTCCAGCCTTGAGTCCAAATTCAATTGATCCTGTGTATTTTCGGGCATTGTGATGTTGTAGTTCAGCAACTTGGCCCAGAACTCATCGTCGGCAGCAATGTGGCTGCGTCCCACAAACTGTTGCAGCAGCGCATTGCTGGCCAAATCGGTTTGTCGGCTAACGTTAATGCCCATTTTGTTGGCCAGTCGGAAATGAGCTGTGTCAGTTTTTTTTTTTTCACTGCAGATTTGATTCGATTTCCTTCGACTGCGGGGATTGTCGTCGTAGTTACACGATATTAGTCACCTCCTCGTATATGCTCGTTTAATGGTGCTCTTCTCTGTTATTGTTTTACACAATATAATTTATGTTTAATAAATAAACATTTTATATTATTTTATTTTATATAGTTTAAGACAAGCTAACAGCAGAATCAAAAGAATATTTTTTTCTGTGATGTGTAAAAAATCTGACAGACGTCATCAATTACCGTAATGACAACTGAACAGCTGATGCAACTGTTGTTTAGACAAGAAGGGTATTCACTGTAAAATGATTACTCGTTACACTATCCACTGTATAATGATTACCCAATCAATTGATAAGAAGTGGATTTTTAAAAGTTTTATTTTTTAAATATTTAACAAGTCATGGATTTAAAAAAATATAAGTTAGATTGAATATTTATAAAAAAAAGAAATTTTTAAGTTTCCACAAGATGTGGATTAAAAAAGCATTTTTGATGACTTGTTTGGGCATTTAAAATTTGTGTTTAACCAGTACAGCGGTTAAATTGTATATACGATATAGAAATAAATACAGCGGTTCGTATGTAATCTGGATATAATTTATGTTTAAAATCACGGTTGTTGCTGTAGCAAATTACACCGACTTCGATTAGGAAATGCGCAGAGCTCCATGCAAATACCTATAAAAGAGCTGGATCTTTATATAGAGACCTATAACCAAAGATACGATATTTTTTATGAAATTATACCCAATTGAAAAGCGTGTCTTAAGTACTCAAAATACCGAATTATGCAAAGAAAGTCTATATGGGGGCTATACCTCTTTATGGACCTATATTTATTATTTTTTTGTAAAAAGATTTGCGAACCAATGAGAATCCTAAATATAAAATTGGAGATGGGTGGGGTGAAAACCGTGTATGAAATCAAAAAAATATCGAGTATTGGAGGTTATGGTTGTATGGAGACTATACCAAAAAGTGGGCCGATACTAATAAGTTTTGGTACATATGAAGATTTCCCAACCTCATCGGAATGCAAAATAAAAAATTTGAATCAACGCCTTTGAAAAACTTGTAAAAAATCATTATAATACCGAGTATTCAGGAGTTACCGTTGTATGAGAGACATATTAAAACGGCCGATAACTTTTAAAGGTGTATATGGGACTCAATGAGAATTAAATTACTGTCGATTATTAAATGTGTCTGAAATCCTCAAAATACCGAATGCTGAGGGTACCTATATATAGGGACTATATCAAAACATGAATCGCTATTTATCATTTATGGTAGAAAGATTTACAGCCTAGTCAGGGCCCAACATATGAAATAAGAACCAATTAATTTTGGAAAAATTTTCCATAATTCCCAAAATATATAAAATTAGGGGGTTCCTTTATAAGAGAGCAATATCAGACATATTGATAAATTTTGGGTGAAAGATTTACTACCCAATGATAATCCAAAATATGAAATTTCAGTCAATTCGGTTGAAAAATGTGTCTGAAATCACCAAAATACCGAAATGCCAAGTGGTCCCTTTACATCGGATGTATATTAAAACCTTTGCTTCGTTCAAGTAAACTGCAAGAATATTCTATTAATCAAAAGTCTTTTTTTAATTTCTGATTGATACATTTGAGAAGTTTTAATAATTTTTGAGTATGAAAACAGACACCTTTTTAACCTACCCACAAATATAAACAATTTTTTTAAATTATTTTTTAAGACATTTATTATAATTAAAAAAATTAGCTAATTTGCTAAGAAGAAAAAAAGCAGGACAAGTTTAATGCGAGAATCAATACATATAAGGACAAACCACTCAATTCATTTACTTATGACGAACCCATTTTATTTGTTCCGAAAATAAAAAGATTAAAACGAAATGAAATTAAAAAGAAAACCAAAAACAAAATTTTGAAAAATAATGGAACCATTTGTTTTATTATTATAAGAGTTTTTTTTATAACTAATACACAACAAAATTTCTTTGAAATTATAACCAAAAAGAAAAATAAAGGAAACTAAATTGGGAATAAAAATATTACACTCAAATCAAGGACAAAAATTAGCATGCACATATAAATTGATACTAAAAATTTGTTTGTTTCTTTTTTCAAAAGTATTGTTTTCTTTTTTTTTCAAAACAAAAGACAAATGTTTTACAGAGATTTTAATTAAATGACAGTTTAAAGATCTTTATGACAATGCTGACGTCGATGGCCCTACTTACAAATCTATAACGGTTTGCCAGTAAAAACTAGAAAATATATAATGATAAATGAAGAGAAAGAACATACATAAAGAAATCTTTAAACTAATTCAAGCGCATTTGTCTTTTGTTTTAGAAAAAAATCATCTACAACAGCAGCTGGCAATAACTCATGATTGTTGGTTTCATTTTTTTAAGATATATACAATAAGCTAATGGCTGCCTTTCTTCGTTTGTGTCTTATACATTGTTTCTGTTTCTAATACTAGAGTATCTTTCATATATTGTTTTTCGTATTTTATAAAAATTACACACATTTACAATACAAATATGTCCTTATCATTTATATTCCTTTGCATTTCCTTCCATATTCATTTTCCATATGTTTGCTGATTGGTTTCTTTCTTTTTTGGGTGTATTCCTTTTACGTTTTGTGCTTAGTGGTTGTGATTTGTGATAATGTGTGTGTGTATGGGATTTCCTTGACTGCCACTTGTCTATATTATACGCCTGCAGCTAAGGCAATGTAAAATCAAAACTGGCATTAGTCCATCTTTAAAGTTGGGTGTATTTCTTCTACTTCTCCTGTTTTGTTCTCCAGAGCATGATGAATTATGTTGTTGGTTTTTTATTAAAGTAGTTTTGGGGACGTCATTGTATCCTGCACATTTACTTCCTCCTCCACATGCTTTTTCTTCATCTACATTTAACAAAATTCAATCATATCTTCTTTTCCTCTTCTTCGGATCCAATAAAAATCAGATAGATATTTTTGATGATGTTGATGATACAGCAGCAAATTTAAAAAATATGTTTTATATAATAAGAAATATACACAAAGAGCCTCCTTTTCGTTATGACTCTAAATTAAAGTGAATGTAATTGTTTTCTGGTGTGACTTTAAAATTTGCGCATAATTGGTGATTTATTGGCGGCCCCAGTTGTCAACATTTGCTTGAGACTGAACGAAGACAAGGCAATGCCGAACAATGCCAAACAGGTTGCTGAACGAGTTATAACACGATCAGGATTACCGGCTGTGGTAAAGCTGCTGGTTGTCGGTGTCGATGCTGTAGACTGGAAAGAGAAAACGAAATTTGTTGAGGTTAGATAAAATTAAAAAAAGGTTATATTAAATATAATGTATATGTAGGAATGGAGTTAAAGATCTGTATAAAAGGTCGTTTACATTTAACCGGATTTGGTTAACCCAGTGGGTTTAAATTTTCAATTCCTTTGAATATATGCCAAATAAATCCTCATAAAGTAGGTTAACCACGGTAAAAAGTTCTAATGTAAATGCCGTATAAGGCAGGAGTGGGGTATATTTAGCATAGAGGTTAGATCAAATTTGTGACAACAATTGAGATTATATTTAAATATAATTTCAACTTAGAAAGGTAATTGTAGATATAAAAGCAGGGCTTATATTTACAGAAATTTTATAAAAATATACTAATAACGTCCTTTATTGATAAGTTAGATATAAAATGAGCTTATATTTAAATATAATTTAGACTCAGGAATAAGCTTGAAGGCCCAAAATATTGGTTTGAAAAACGTTTTCGAAGCTTGGGGTATAATGATCATTTAGGTAGAGAGATTTTCTAAGCAGTCAGAAAGCAAAGCAGGGAATTTTGTTCAAAAACCCGTGCCCAAACTCTTCAAATTAAAGTGATGCGGTAGGTTCCGTTACATGGAAGCTACCTTATATGTTTTTGGTCGTTTAAGACTTGTCGTATGTCGTACTCTATATAAGCTATATTCAGGGTCTTGTAGTACAGAATTTCATATACTCCATATAAAACTCTAATTACAGGTCCACTATTTACGGTACATCTTTAGAATATCTTCTGTCCCTGTCACCCATAGCAACGATAGATATAAAATAAATAAAATAAGTAAATAAAATAAATATTATCTTATCCATTTCCTTCCACCCCAATAAAACGAGGAAGACATAAAAGAATGCACTGAGGTGTATGCACTGTCTGAGACCAGACACAGTTTATCGAACCCTCTACATGGATGTCCCATTAACAATTTACAAAATCGACATTGAACTTTGAGTAATTGTTTTTTCTTCTCCTTAACACGATTTGCTGCTACACGTCACCATACATTATTTTAGCAATCAGTCAGGCAGACAATAGCAATGCGGTCATTATACCTTTGGGGTAGATGAGAAAATGTTTTTAAACAATTTTTGAGAAATACAAAAAAAATAAATATAATAAATTATTATAACAAACATATATTGCAAAATTTAAAAAATAAATTTGACCTTGACCTATATAGGAAAAATCAATATCTAGAGTTTCTGTATGTTTACCCAAAGAAAAGGAAAATATGCAAAACAAAAATTCCCACCCCCACACACACACGCTACTGTATGAAATGTATAATCTATATTGACGTAATAAATGCGCAATCTGCAGCTACTACTACGTCTTATTTTTCCCGCAACAACAAAATTTTCACTATAGTATAAATGTGTGTGTGTAGTATTTGTTGTTTAATTTGGCGCCTCTGACACATTGAAATACGCATTTATTAGATAGAAATGCATTCTGAAAACAAATCTTAAAATAGGCGGGGAAAACAACAACCTTCTCCTTATCAACCGACCATTTAAAGAATTTTATAATATCTCAGCCAAGATAAGAAATGTAAACAAATGTTGAAAAAATTATGGCAAAAAACTCAACAACTGCTGGCCAAATGCCATT